AGGAAAGACTGATGGAAGGAGGGAGGGAGGGAGTCCCAGAGCAAGGGAGGAAGAGAAAGACAAGGGCACCCAGCCCTGGCCCTTGAGCAGGGAGAAGCCAGCACCTGTTCACTGAATGCCAAATTAACACATTCTAGGGTCCCCAGGCCCTTCTCACCATCGTGATTTCTGTGACAGTCAACTAATGAGGGAGTGAAGGTCCCTCCGCAGGGTCAGCACAGGGCTAGAAATGTGTGAAACGTGCCCAGCCTGAGAGCAGGTGCTAAAGGCTGTGGGTGGGGACCACCGAACCTGGACCTCTCTTCCCAGGCCTGTCATGGGCTCCTCCAGTTACCAGGGGTCCCTCGTGGGCGGGAGACTGGCCCCTGTGACTGAGGCTTGTCCCTGGGTTGGCTGAGCAGAGAGCCGGAGATGGCAGGCACTCCCCACCACCACTTACTGATAACCTGTGTCTCCGGTGAGTGAACGGTTTGCACCCTGCCCCGCTTCTCCCCATTGAAAGAAGAGTCACTGGCACCTTCTCACAAACACATCTGTTACATCCAACCAAAACCTGAGTACTTTTCCCTCATCCCCTCTACCAATCCTTATGCTTAAAATACAGCCAGAAGATGAACAGAGCAGTACCCGGCCAGATGACAGAGCCACACGCCTCCACCAGGGCTGGGTGACACTGGGGGGGCTGTGGGGGTGGTCAAGATTCAGGGCAGAGACCAAACATTGTGACACCGTTTTGATTTCTGAACTGTCGGCCTCGGCACACTTTATAGTCCACGGACACTTGTACCGTTTTTTTCTCCTCCTGGTTTACTCTATTTCTGGATTATTGTCTATAAGTTTCAAAATAGTCCAGGATCCCTGAGTGGTTTATAAATTAGGGCTGTATTCTGGGAGCACCCAGTAGTGCTGCTATATTTTAGGTGGTGTCAGAGTTTCCATTATAAACCCCATTTCTCAGAGGTTTATAACTTGGCCATAAAAATGCACTGAGGCCTGAGGCTTGGACTGTACCATGCACGGCTGCTGGGTCTCTTCCAGGTCTCTGGTGGGGACACCCAGCAGGCATACACAGAGCAGGAGGCTGGCACATGAGGACTTCCCATCCTGGTGTGAGGGGCTATGAAGTGGGGAGCCCCCTCCTGGCAGTCAGGAGAGCCGCAGGACCCAAAGGGCTGCCTGTATAGGCTTCCCATCACTTAGCAAGGCCCGGCTGCTGCTTAGCAGGCCGGCGACCAAGGCAGGAAAGCTCCCCTGCCTCACAGTGAGTCTCCGGGGCCACACTGTCATTCCTAAGACATCGTGCAAAAAATCACCTCTCCAAGGCTAGGTGGGTCCCCTTTCTGCAAGTCCCCTGACCCAGTGACCAAACAGAGACATTTCAGATTGATGTTTACGTTAACAGACCCCACACGTGGTAGGACAGGACCCCATTTCAAGTTACAAAGTTGCCTGTTCAGGAAAGTAGAAGAGTCAAGACCAGCAGTTCTGGGGCCCCAGGAACTTGGATAAATAACGCTGATGCCTAGGCCCCACTCCCAGGGGTCAGAGAGGTGAGGAGTCACACCCATCTCCCATACCTCCCACACCTGCGCCTCTCTGGGCCCCGTGTGCTCACCTGCAGCACGGAGAGAACAGTCATCCACCTTCCCGCTTGTTAGACGGATCACATGCAGTGCCATCCCCACAGTGTCCGGCTCCCTGCGTGGGCTGTGGCCAGAGCTTTCACCGTGACTGTGATAAATGCAGACACTAGTCCACGGCAAGACGTGGGGAGGGGAGGAGGACATACACCATGACCTTCAGAATCTACCAGCGATCTATCAGAAGTGAGGGCAAGAATCTTAAGTGGGCCCAGTGCACACATGTGGCACCACCACCTGGGAAGCTGCAAGCTGCCTGGGAGGCCGCGGGTTTGATTCCTGGGCCAACCAGAACATGCCAGGTGAGGTTGCACGAGCTAATGAGGAAACTGACAGGAGATTTTAGCACAGCAAGCCTCTGTTAAGGGTGCCTGTCTCTCTTTCTCTTTTTTTCTTTCACAAAAAGAAAAAATCCTTTACGTGACCTTTTATTTTTTTTTTAAGAATTATTTTACTTAACCTTATTTATTTATTTTAATTTTACCAGAGAGGGACAGAGAGAGAGAGAGAGAGAATGAGAAAGCAAGCTGCCAGGTCTAGGACTCGAACCGTGGTCAGTCATGTGGGAGTCCAGGGCCCTTAACCACCACACCACCTGCCAGCCCCTAAGTGACCTTTTAAATTCTTGAGGCAAGTGTATGTATTTTATACAATTGGCTTCCCATTATATGGTTTCTAGCCTTTCCAGAAACTCACATGCATGTAGTTTTCCCATTATGTGTACCCTACATGGGACAGCAGGCCCCATGTCCTCCTGCTGCATAACCTTCCACCTTCCCGGCATCCCAACTCACAAACAAGCACTGTAATTCCTACTTTCATTTAGAGCATAATTTGGGGACTTTTCACTGTGCTTTTGCCATCTTGACCTCTCCCCCATCGCCCTTTCCAAATCCTGCGTACCTGCTCAAAGTCACCTTCTCTGGAAAGGCTTTTGAGAACTTTTCTTTTTTTCTTTTTATCTTCTTTTTTTCCTGTTTGCAATAGAACATGTGCACTCACCAGAGAGAGACAGAGAGAAGGAAAGTGAGAAAACACTCCCTGGGGGGGATGGCCGTGCCATAATCCTTCCTCCTCTCAGGATTTTGGGCACGCACACACGTGTGCCTTATGTGTTTTTCAAGCCTCTGAGTACAGGACTTGAACCGCACAGACATCCTTGTGGGATCTACCTGCATTAACCACTACACCATCTGCTGGCCCCTTGTCTCCCCTCCTGCAACCCTCCACACGTGTTCCTTCTCCAGCACTGACCGTGTTGCCCCTCTCCTTCCACAGCTAGGCACCCAAGTTCTATGATGGGCTGGACCAGGGGTCATGATGCATGCATGGTCCCACTCCCCTCATCAGCTGAACCTCCTGGAAGGCAGGGATTATGCCTTATGGGCCTATTTCCTACCACTTCCCTGCTTTGTAGGGTGTCTCACACAGTAGGTCAACTTTCAGTTAAACAAGAACAGTGCAGGGAAGCTCTGGGGAAACTCAGAAATCAAAGCCTCGAGTTCAAATCTAGAGGATTAACGCTGTGACCTTGGACACCCATTTTTATACCTGTGACATAAAGACAGCTATCCGTGTAGTAAGTGAAATGAAAAATAATGAATGTAAGTCATTTTCTATCTTTAAGGCATTTAGTCAATTATCATGACCACTAAGGTCATAGCAACTGTTCAGGAAGAAGAGCCCAAAGAACAGGATTTTGGGGTGCCTGGGGACCCCAGTGATGTGGCTATGGTCTCTTTGTTGCATGAAATATCTGGTTTCCCCCCATTCTGGGGTCAGGCAGAAGGGAAGTAAGCCATCTGGAATTCTGGAGTTCTCATGAGTGTAGCTGGACCTCCGCAGAGGCAGTTTCTTATTAGGTCCTTGCTGTCACAGCCCGAAAGTCTGGTGAGGTTTCCTGAACCTTTCCTTCCCCTAGAACTGAGCAGGGCCTTCCCATGGCCGGGGCTCCTGGGTACTCAGCACCTGTACAGAGACTGAAGCCAGCAGCTTCGCTGGTCCCTGAGCTCCTCTTTGCAGAGACAGCACCTAGTACTCCTTCCTCTGGGAGCCACAGGAACAAGAACGCACACCAGAGGGAAGCCTGGTCTGCAGGGAGCTCACTTTGATCTCTCCATTTCTTCTGAGGTTCCCAGGACTTCTGATCCAGACTTGAGCATCACAGGCTCATCTGGCTGAATGGAGTCACATCCTGGGTCACCCAGCTCTGCACCTGGCTGCTCCTCAGAGACTCCCTGCCTGGAAAGAGCTGGGGCCTTTCCTCTTGGAGCATCTTCAAGGGTGCTTTTCATTCATTCACTCGAAGATGTTTATTGAGCACCTGCTGTGCCAGTCTATGTTCTAGGTGTCTAGATTATGCCAGAAACAAAGACCACTACACGGTGGGTTTACACTCGGGCAAGGCGATGTCACTGAATAATGGCCATAATGATAGATTAGATAGCATGTGGGCAGTAATCAGTATTATGGGAAAGAATGAGTAGAGCCAGATAAGGCAGATTAGTGGAAGATGGACGTGTCCTGGGGGGACAGGTGCAATTTCAAATGGGGAGGGGGAGTGAATTATTAATAGATTTGTCGCAGTGCTGCTGTGTAGCCTTGGAATTTTAGTAGCTGAAAAAACAGGTTATTTGTTTGTTTTTCTCATTCTGATCATAGGCAGCTTTAGTGACTTTGTCTAGAGCTGAGGAGCAGGTCTGTTCCATGTGCCTCACCCTAGGACCTGGATTGGGGCTTGATTTTCTAAGAGCAAAAGATGAGAAGGCCTTCAGTTACTCTAAGACATGCAAACCTCTCAAAGCTTCTGCTTGGACGTGAGGGAGCCCCACCTACTCTCATTGCATTAGCCAAAGCAATGCACAGCAAAGTCTAGCACCATGGCACAGACGGTGGGGAGGTGACAGACTACATTCTCCCAAGGGCCACAAGATGAGCCACTCTGAGAAGATTCCTCCATGTGAGCAAAGCCTTGGGCGATGAAAGAGAAGGAGGCAGGAAAAAGCTAGGCAGGGAACCCAGGGAAAGGGAACACACATTGCCAGCACAAGCCTTCATGGATATTAGCGGGGCTGCAGAACGGTGGAGAGAAGGCACAAGAAGGGAAGATGGAGGATCTGTGAGCTGCTAGAAGGGTTTTTCTTTTCTTTGAGTGAGGTGAAAGTGTTGTGGGTTTGAGTGATCAGAGTAGACTCCCACCTTCACACTTTCCCACTGGCCTCTTGACTGGAGAGACACTGGAGGGACGAAGGCGGAAGTGGGCAGCCAGGTGGGAAGTGTTTCTGACGGACCTTGTAGGAGGTGATGGTGACGTCCTGAGTGGAGCCCTGGGGTAGTGAGAAACGGCCAGATCCCAGATAGGTTCAGAGGTAGAACCAGTGGTCTGCTGGCTACCAGGATGAGAGAGAGAGAGAGAAAGCAGCTTCCAGGCTGGTTCAGGGTCTTGCCATCAGTGATAGCAGCAGTGCAGGGTCAGGAGGGCCACGTCAGAGAAGCCGATAGACATCTATGTAAGTTTCCTGGAGCTGCCATACAAGGTGACACAGGCTGAGACTCTCAAACAGCAGAAAGTTACCGACTCACAGTTCTGGAGGTCAGAAGTCTGAGATCAAGGTATCGGCAAGGCATTTCGTTCAAGGGCTGCAGGGAGAATGAGTTCCAGGCCTCTGCCCCAGCTGTGAATGGTTCTCTGCTTGCTCTGTGATCCTGTGGCTTGTAGAAGGATCACTCTGACCTCTGCCTTTGCCTCCACGTGGCATTTACCCTGGATATATACTTCTGAGTTTAAAGTCCCCTTTTTTGTAAGGACACCAGTCACACTGGAGTAGGGTAGACCCTACTCTGTCTTAACTAATTACTGTCATGGGGCGCCTAAGCATGCTTCAATCAACAACAGAGCGCATATATGATGGTGGCCCCATAGGATGACATACACCATATAGCCCAGTGTGGCGTACGCTGTGCCATCTAGGTTTGTGTCGGTACATGCGATGTTGGTTGCACTATGATGAAATCACCTAATGATGCGTTTCTCAGAACATCCCCATTGTTAAGCCATACATGACTGTGTGTGTATCAACACTGAACCTGTTTCCAAGTAAGGTCACATTCTGAGGGCCTGGGGACTTCCACATATGAATTGAGGGGTGGGAAGGCATGATTCAACCTATAACAACATCGAAGTGGAGAGGGCTCTTCTCCAGAGAGGGAAGGGGTCCCCAATATCTGGCTCAGATTCTTATGCCTAGGAGCTGCTTCCAAGTTCCCTGAGCAGAAGAGGGAGGTAGGGGTTCTCTTTAGACTTCCTGCTCTTCCTAGTCGGCCCCTAACCTCAAAGGGAACAAATTAAAAGCAGCTGTCCAAACGCTGAGCTGATGAACCATGCGTGGGCCTGAGTCTCCTCTCAGGAGCCAGGCAGCTCCAGAAGCACATGTGTGGGTAAAAGCAACAGTTCCTTTAGCATTGCATGTGCATTCCTTGAACACCTACTGTGTACTATAGCAGCCTGGGGTATTTGGAAATTCATGAGAGAAGTAGGTACTGGGAAGGGGCTGGAGGTGGCCTCCTGGGAGGACTTTGAAGGACAGGTAAGATTTGTCCTAAGTGGAAAATTCTGTGCAAAATGATCAGGGAACACAGGTAGGCAGGGTGCCTGTGCCCAGGCTATAGGTAAAGTCCAAGTGGACTGAGAGCTGTGAGCAGAGGTGGTGCTTCCAGCCAGCCTACTGAAGGGCATGAACATGCAGAAGGAGGAGAGGAGCAGCCCTCCCAAGACCACTCCAGGTCAGATGCTCAACCAGAGCTGTGGGTCTTGGGGCGTTTGAAAATGCCTCACTCCTTTATAGCAGCAGAGCATGCCAGTTGAAATGTATGGCTGAGACTCAAGATCGTCCTGCAGGAAAAGCCAAAAGAAGAAAATCTTTGGCCTTCTGTCTTGACAACCCACACTGGTCCCCAGCTGGACCCTCACTAACATCACTCACAGACCAGTTTTATCTGGTTCTAGCCACTCCTTGCTCTTATGACCTTGGGAGGGTTCTTTCAGACATTAGGAAGAAGAGACCACAAAGAGCAATGTCTAAATTGTGGACAGTGGCACCAGACTGCCTGGTTCTTGTCTGGGCACTATTGCTTTCCAGCTATGAGAATTCAAGTGAGTCACATCACCTCTCTATGCCCCATTTCCTCCTAGGCTCCCATTCTAAGTACTTAGCACAGACCTCGACATGCACCACACAGGCTCAATCAGGATGCTTGCACAGCCAGAGATTGGCACGGTGAGGTTTATACATAAGCCAGGGTTCTTCCCAGGACATCAGGCTGCCTCTTCTCCCTAGTGCCCATTCCACCCAACCCCAGCTCCTCTTGAAGTGAAAGACCTCACTGAGCAATGGAGAGTCCAGGATTCTCTGAAGTAACTCCTTCCTCCCCTGCCAGCTGACCCCTGTACGAGCTTCTGACAGAACTGAGCTCACTCTTTC